CCGCCTGAGGATCAGGCCCTCTGTTCTCCCGCTCCGGGCCCGCGATGACGGCGACGCTGATCCCTGGAGCCGCGGGCCGCTGCTGCTGGGACGAGGCCGGTGCGCATCGTCGTGCGCGGCCTGGGCCCGAGCAGCCCGTCACGCTGCGCGTCCCTCGCGACGAGAAGGGCCGCGTCTCCGGGCCAGCGCGGTTACGCGCCGACGTCGCGGCCAGCTGGACCTGGCGCGCGCGCCCGCGCTGGGTGGCAGCTTCGCGGGCTCGAGCCCATGTGTGCCTGGGCTGGAGCCCGAGAAGCCATTCTGGCGCTTCTTGAAGCGCGACGTGCGGACGCCCGCCGTGGATGCGGAGTGCTGACGGCCACGGCCAGAGGCGGGCGGCTGCTGGCGGGCGTGCACGAGCGCGACTTCCTGCCGCCCGGGGTGCGGCGGGAGCCGGTGCGCGCGGCCGGGTGCGCGACTCTGCCGCAGGTGAGCTGGGCTGCGGGAGTGTGTGAGAGGTCGGTGGCCTCCGGGCTGCTCTAGCTGAGTTTGGCTCCGGGGCAAGATCAGAAAGCTGGCATTGGTTGTCAATGGCGCTCGCAAAGATGGGGGATTTTGGCGTTAGGTTTTGCACTGTGTTACTGCATTATACCATTTAATTTCTGTAATGTCCCAATGAGGTGGATGTTCTTATTCTGCAGATGAAAAGCTAGGGTCAGACTGGTAGGTACATTGTCCTCTTTGCTATAATCACTCCCTACAGATCCCTGCAGGCATTAGCCCGACTGGTCTTAGGCAAAATGCAGACGGTAAAGGAGGCTGTTGCCATGCCCCTTTCTCCGTTCCTGGGCACACTGGGCCCATCTCCACTTCTTCATGTCCCTCTTTACTTCAGATCACAGTTCAGACTTCACTGCCCTTCTCATCTAACCCATCTCTGGGTATTTCTGTTTTCTTCTGTCTTTTTAATAGACATCTGACAATAGCAGGCACACAGAAAAACCACAACATAGAGCTTGATTCAGATTAATTCTATGGTCGCAGTCCTCCAACAGAGTGCTCTTGAGTCCAACACTGTATAAACATGAAAATCCCTCCTTCCATGATGTGTTTAATTAACGAAAGACTTTGTTACTCCCCTTAGACAACTTAGAGTTTTAGATCTTGCAAATAATTTATCATAAATCATCTGGACGGTCACATCATCAATTAAGAGAGGAGCTCTGTGTTTTAGATTTTTCTCTCCCCAAGAGCTTCTATCCTTTTTAGCTAGTGACTCAGACATCTGCTCTCTTTTCTTTTAATTTATAGGACCCACTAAATAATTAGAAGGTTGTGTTAAAGAAAAGCAAATTCTGGCCGGGCGTGGTGGCTCATGCCTGTAATCCTAGCACTCTGGGAGGCCAAGGCAGGCGGATTTGCTCGAGGTCAGGAGTTCGAAAGCAGCCTGAGCAAGAGTGACGACCATCTCTACTATAAATAGGACATATATAAGAAGAGGTTAAGTTGGCCAATTAATTTCTTTCTATTTATAGTAGAGATGGGGTCTTGCTCTTGCTCAGGCTGGTTTCGAACTCCTGACCTCGAGCAATCCACCTGCCTCGGCCTCGCAATAGTTTTAGTATTACAGGTGAGAGCCACTGCGCCAGGCCAAGAAATGCATATTAAAATGATGTATAAGATAGCCACATTTATTTAAGAATGTATTCCAATAACAAATGGCGAATTTCAACAATATGAAAACCTCAATTACTTTTGCACCAACATAATATCTCCCCTAGCCAAGGTTAGATTAATTTTCAACTCAGTTATCTGCGGATGTTCTGTGGTAAAATCAAATATTTAGTCTCTTCCAAATTCACAGAGAAAAGTAAATATCTCAGCTGGGAGATATCTCAGAGGGCACAGAGTCAATCAGTCAGCTTGCTATTTGTATTCCAGGTAGGGTGAGTGAACATTCTGGTTTGCCCAGGACTGAGAGGTTTCTTGGGATACATGTCTTTCTGTACTAAGACCAGGATAGTCCCAGGTAAACCAGGAAGGTTGGTCACCTAGCAGCATCACTGCTTCGTGGCGATGTGAACTTGTCTCCAACCTCCAGGTTTGTTGTGAGAGTTAAATGACTAACACTTGTGAAGCTCTTGAAGTGGGACCTGACATTTAAAGGTAAACTCATTCATTCATGCAGTAAACAGTAGGGGATCTAGGCACAGGAGTACAGAGGTGGGGAAGACAAGGTTTGTGTCCACGTGAGTTTAGAGTACTGGCTGGGGACAGAGAAGGGAGGGCTAGGTAAAACATAAATTCAAAATTCAAAGTGCTCAGCCTGGGCAACATAGCAAGACCCTGTCTCTAAAATAAAATTTTAAAAATTAGCCAGGCATCGTAGCACGCACCTAGACTTCCAGGAATTTAGGAGGCCGAGAGGCAGAAGGATTCCTTGAGCCCATAAGTTTGAGGCTGCAGGGAGCTATGATCAGGCCACTGCACTCCAGCCTGGGCCACAGAGACCTAGAAAAAAAAAAATGAAAGTGATAATAGGAAAATTAACAGAATACTGACTAAGAATAGTGAAAATGAAAGTGGATGGGACTAGATAGCATAGGAAGCACCTCATTTAGCAAAGACTGAAATGTTGTCTATTAGTAGTGGACAGTAGTAGCATTATTAGTTATCTCAGAGATAATTCTAGCTATTAAAATTTTTAAACCTTTTGGTACCTGCTGTATCACTTATGTATTAGAAACAAAGTATTAGGTTATTAAATATGAAATGTCCAATTTTGAATAAAAAGTTTAGTTTTTTATATCTCAAACAAGAAGCAGTACAATTAATCAAATCAATTAGTCAAAGTATGCAACTAAACAATCAGCACAGTTGTGTTTTTTTTTTGGAGACAGAGTCTCACATTGTTGCCCAGGCTAGAGTGAGTGCTGTGGCATCAGCCTAGCTCACAGCAACCTCAAACTCCTGGGCTCAAGCAATCCTTCTGTCTCAGCCTCCCGAGTAGCTGGGACTACAGGCATGCGCCACCATGCCTGGCTAATTTTTTTCTATATATATTAGTTGGCCAATTAATTTCTTTCTATTTATAGTAGAGACTTGGTCTTGCTCTTGCTCAGGCTGGTTTTGAACTCCTGACCTCGAGCAATCCGCCCGCCTTGGCCTCCCAGAGTGCTAGGATTACGGGCGTGAGCCACCACGCCCAGCCCATCAGCACAGTTTTGCCATCTTAACAGTAGCTTGTTTATGCCAGCAGCAGCAAAGAAGCCTGGAGAGTGAGTGGCGATGAAATCACAAAAGGCTTGTTAAGAATTGAATATTTTTCCTTGCAAGAAGTGGCCCAAAACCTGGAAGAAATGGTAGTCAGTTGGTGCAAAGTCTGGTGAATATAATGAATGACAGAGAGATTCGAAGTCCAGCCTTTCTAATTTGTGCAGCATTGTCTGTGCGACATGTGGTCAAGTAGTCAAGCAGTCGAGCATCATCTTGCAAGAGGACTGACGTGTCTGTTGACCAATCTTGGCTACTTCATCGCAAGCATCCTCATCATTTCTTCCAATTGGTTGCAGTGGACAGTGGCTGTAATCAATTGTCCAGGTTTCATGAAGCTGTAGTGGATAATACCAGTGCTGAACCACCAAACAGACACCATTAGCTTTTTTTGATAAATATTTGGTTTTTGACTGTGTTTCAGCACTTCATCTTTATCCAACCATTGTGCTGAATGTGTGCTATTGTCAAAAAGAATCCATTTTTCATTACACATAACAACATGGTGTGGAAATGGTTCACCTTTATGTCATGACAGCAAAGAAAAGCAAGCTTCGAGACTATTTCTCTTCTGACACTCGTTTAATTCATGCAGTACCCATCTATCCAGTTTTTCTATCTTGCAAACCTTGAAACCGATTTGTTTCAAATAGTCCGATATTGTTGGACTAGTAACATCAAACCTTGCTGCTAATTCCCACATAGATTGAGATGGATTTGCTTCCACTACAGCTTTCAGCTTATCATTATCCACCTTCATCTCAGGTCACCCATGTGTCTCATTTTCAAGATTAAACTCACCAGAACAGAACTTCTCAAACCATTGATGTACTGTGTGTTCATTAGCTACATCCTTTCCAAACACTTCATTGATATTTCAAGCTGTCTGAACAGCATTGGTTCCACAATGGAACTCATATTTGAAAATAACATGAAGTTTTGACTTATCTATGACTTCACAAAAATTGTTTTTAAAAAAATTTGAAAGATAATCACAAGCCAAACCAAGCATTTGAAAGACTGAATATGTACCTTCACAATAAAAATAAAACAAGAAGTGTCAAAGTGAAATGTCAGAGATAATCAACTGTCAAATTTAGTACTTAAGGAACTCAGACATTTCATAATTAATAACCTAATAACTATATATGCAAATTAATGATTTACAAGCTGCCAAGTAGACTAACATTGATACTAGGGCTTTTTTTCATATACTTTTTATTATGATTTTATACTGCATACATATAATGTGTCTATTCATTAACTGCTTAATTACCTCAAATGTTCTTTGAAAATAACTATTTCGGGAAGAAAAATTTTTATTGAAGTACAGGCCTTCTCTTCCTCAATAATTACACACAAATGGAGCACTACTTAGGTTCAACTTAAACTTCTCATTACCATGAACTTATGTGAATGAAGGACCCACTGAAGTATAAAGGCACCAGAAACTAAATATAAAACATTTTTTGAATTTGTTTGAGTGCTTCTTATTGACAAGCATCGGGATAAGTGCTTTACATTTGCGTTCTCATTTGATCTTCACGTTGACTCTTTAGCATAGGGATTAGCCTCATTTTACCACTGAGGAAACAGCTTCAAAGAGGCTTAATGACTTTTTTAAAGCTAGGATATTGTTAGAGCCCAGATTCTGGTTCAGGTTCACCTGACTTCCAAGGGTGGTCACTACTCACCATGCTACACTGTTCTCAGACTCATTCTTCTTTTTGCCCTTATCCCTTTCCCAGGTAAAGGGTCCAGGAGTCGGACTGCTTGGAACCTCCAAAGGGGGTAATCTCTGCCTTTCCATGGCCTCTTTCCTGAAGGGCATCACGGCTGCTGTCATAATCAACGGATCCGTGGCCAATGTCGGGGGAGCCTTACACTACAAGGGCGAGACCTTGCCCCCTGTGGGCGCTAACAAAAATAGAATCAAGGTGACCAAAGATGGCTTTGTAGACATGGTGGATGTCCTGAACAGCCCTTTGGAAGGACCTGACCAGAAGAGCTTCATTCCTGTGGAAAGGGCTGAGAGCACCTTCCTGTTCCTTGTAGGTCAGGATGACCACAACTGGAAGAGTGAGTTCTATGCTCATGAGGCCTCTAAACGCTTAGAGGCCCATGGGAGGGAAAAGCCCCAGATCATCTGTTATCCAGGGGCAGGGCACCATATTGAGCCTCCTTACTTCCCCTTGTGCCGGGCTTCCCCAAACACCTACATGAGCAGTCCTATCATCTCGGGAGGAGAGCCCAGGGCTCATGCCATGGCCCAGGTGGATGCTTGGGAGCAACTCCAGAGTTTCTTCCACAAACATGTGGGTGGTAGAGAGGGGACAGTCCCAGCAAAATTGTAATTTTTATTTGATTGTGTGGCATTTCTGATGCTAACCTATCCCAGGAACAGCTTCCACAATGGGTGTGTGTATGTATATTCTTTTTTTCTTTTTAACAACTACTTAGAGTTTTTCCCCCTTCATTGTTAAAATGAAGTTACCAGTGAGAATGAGTTTTTAAAATTATTATAAACTGTAGAGTTTATTAGTTGGGAGAGGAGTGATTCTGCAGAAAACACAAGAGATGGAAAAAAACATACCTCTTGCTATCTCATAACACATAACTGATAAGGAAAAATGTGTAACACCAGTTATCAGTGCCTGGTACATAATGGGAGATCAATAATTATTGCTGAATGACTGATTAGTAAGGCAATGATTACCTACTATGGAGGAAAGGCATATAGTATCAAAAATATAATTATCAAATTTGTCTCTCCTTTATAAATGAAATTTAACATCTTAGCTATAGAATGATTAATAGATATAAAACTACTAAAAATTTTCAAAACAAATACATTTTTAGTTCTTATTTTCTGCTTGGATAAATAAGGATTCTCTTAGTATTAATAACAATTTTATGTTCCTTTTTATACATATAGACCCTTATGATTTAGTTGTTTCAAAAGCTGATAAAACATTTTTTAGATGAATTACATGAGTGATTTAAACCATGATAAATATGAAAATAAGGCCAGGTGTGGTGGCTCATGCCGGTAATCCTAGAACTCTGGAAGCCGATGCAGGAGGATCGCTGAAGGTCAGAAGTTCGAGACCAGCCTGAGCAAGAGTGATACCCCCATCTCTACTAAAAATAGAAATAAATTAGCCAGACAACTATAAATATATAGAAAAAAATTGCTGGGCATGGTGGCACATGCCTGTAGTCCCAGGAACTTGGGAGGCTGAGGCAGGAGGATTGCTTCAGCCCAGGAGTTTGAGGTTGCTGTGAGCTAGGCTGATGCCATGGCACTCTAGCCCAGGCAACAGAGTGAGACTCTGTCTCAAAAAAAACCAAAAAACTAAATGTGAAAATAAATGACAATTTAATATTTGTACATTTGAGCTGGACATGGTAGCTTGCACCTATAGTCCCAGCTACCCAGAAGACTGATTCAAGGGCATTGCTTGAGGCCCAGAGTTCAAGTCTAGCCTGAGCAACATAGTGAAACTCCGTCTTTGAAAAATGAATGTATGTTTGTATCACTTGGTACAAACCGTTCCACAGTAAGCTTAACTTTCATAAACCTAACTATATTTAAAGGAAAAATACCTTAATTTATGATTCTCATGTTCTGTTTCCTTGAATTTCTTTCTTTTTTTTTTTTTTTTTTTGAGACAGAGTCTCACTCTGTTGCCTGGACTAGAGTGCCGTGGTGTCAGCCTAGCTCACAGCAACCTCAAACTCCTGGGCTTAAGCAATCCTTTTGCCTCAGCCTCCTGAGTAGCTGGGACTACAGGCATGTGCCACCGTGCCTGGCTAATTTTTATATATATATATAAATATATATATATATATATTTTTTAGTTGTCCAGCTAATTTCTTTCTATTTTTTTAGTAGAGATGGGGTCTCGCTCTTGATCAGGCTGGTCTAGAACTCTGGAGCTCAAACCATCCTCCCACCTCGGCCTCCCAGAGGGAGGATTACAGGCGTGAGCCACCACGCCGGGCCATATCTATGATTCTTCATTTTACTTGGGCACAGAGCCCTTTTCCATCAATTTCTGCCACTTTGCAATCAACCCAATAGAAGGTACATTTGTGTATGTTTATAGTTGCACACAGTGTTGTGTGATTTCAAGTGCATCACGAATTCCCTAAAGCCTGTCCATGCTCTCTGCAAGACAGTAGCCCCAGCTACAGGGAAAGGAAATGGCTCTTCTTTCACCCACATAAACTTTCAATATTTCCTGGATTGTGGCCAGGTGCAGTGGCTCACGCCTGTAATCCCAGCACTTTAGGAAGCCAAGGCAGAAAAATTGCTTGAGGCTAGGAATTTGAACCAACTTGAAACAAATTGAAAGATATGTCTCTACAAAAAATTAAAAAATATATTAACTGGGCATCTGGGCATGGTGTTGAGTGTATGAGTGTAAGGCAGAGGATCATTTGAGCCCATGAGTTCAAGGCTGCAGTGAGCATGATTGCACTACTACATTCCAGCCTGGGCAACAGAGATTCTGTCTTTAAAAACAACAACAAAAGAATTCCTAGATTTGGTGGGGTTGGTGCATGTTCAAGGCACCATGTGTTTGGAATAACATAAAAGAGTAGATCTGGAATCAGCTGAAGCCCTGGCCTTTATTTGGCAGTACTTTTTTTTTTTTTTTTTTTTTTTTTGAGACAGAGTCTTGCTTTGTTGCTCAGGCTAGAGTGAGTGCCGTGGCGTCAGCCTAGCTCACAGCAACCTCAAACTCCTGGCTCAAGCAATCCTCCTGCCTCAGCCTCCCAAGTAGCTGGATACAGGCATTGCCACCATGCCCGGCTAATTTTGATATATTAGTTGGCAATTAATTCTTTCTATTTATGGTAGAGATGGGGTCTCGTCTTGCTCAGGCTGGTTTCAACTCCTGACCTTGAGCAATCCCGGCCTCGCCTCCCAGAGAGCTAGGATTACAGGCGTGAGCCACCGCGCCCGGCCGGCAGTACAGTTTTGGAGGAGGAATATGAATGACAACTAGACTCACAATTCCTACATCCCTTCTCTTGATTATTAACAATGTATATGTGATTTTCCTCTTGAGAAAGTTGATCCTGCAAATGGGGTCATTCTTGTATCCAACAAAACAGAGTTGAGGGGCCAAGAGAATAAAAACACTCAGAGGATATAACGTTGTTTCAAGAATATAATTCTCCACAAGCCTGGCTGCTGAAACTGCCTATTGTAACCTGAAAGCAGTTTTATGTAATGGCTACTAAAACAACCTGCTGTGACTCCAAGACTAGTTTTACCCAACACTATAAGTCACCAGTCAGAACTTGCCAACTCCCCAGAACTTTACTAGAGCCAGTAAACTTTCTTTCAGAATGATACATAACATTTCTCCTTCTAATAAAAACCCCAAGTTCTCTGTCTTCAGACATTCCAAAGACAAACCCATTTTGTGTATAAGCCCCAATTGGAATTTTTGCATGCAAATAAAACATTTTAAATTAGAGATTTACCTATATTTATTTATTTTGACACATTCTTCTCAAGTCTGAACAAATTTTTAAAAATTGAAATCATATCAAGTATATTTTTCAGACCACAGTGAAATAAAGTTAGAAATCAATATTAAGAGGAATTCAGGCCAGGCGTGGTGGCTCACGCCTGTAATCCTAGCTCTCTGGGAGCCGAGGCAGGCGGATCATCTGAGCTCAGGAGTTTGAGACCAGCCTGAGCAAGAGAGCGAGCCCGTCTCTACTATAAATTGAAAGAAATAATTGGCCAACTAATTATATATAGAAAATTAGCCGGGCATGGTGGCACATGCCTGTAGTCCCAGCTCTTCGGAGGCTGAGGCAGAAGGATTGGTTGAGCCCAGGAATTTGAGGTTGCTGTGAGCTAGGCTGACGCCACGGTAGTCACTCTAGCCTGGGCAACAAAGTGAGACTCTGTCTAAAAAAAAAAAAAGGAACTTCAGAAACTATATAAATATGTGGAAATTAAACAACATGCTTCTGAATGATCACTAGGTCAACAAAGAAATAAAATGGAAATTAAAAAATTTTTGACAGAAATGAAATGAAATGAAAACACAACATACCAAAACCTGTGGGATACATAAAATCAATGCTAAGAGAGAAGTTTATAGCATTAAATGCCAACATCAAAAAAGTAGAAATTTACCAACAAATTACCAACCTAACATTGCATCTCAAAGAACTAGAAAAACAAAAAGCAAACCTAAAGTTGAAAAAGAAAAGAATAACAAAGATCAGATAGAACTCAATGGAATAGAGACCAAAAGAACAATATAGAAGAGATCAATGAAACAAACAGTTGGTTCTTTGAAAAGATGAACAAAATTTATAAACCACTACCTACACTAACCAAGAAAAGAGATCCAAAATAACACAATCACAAAATGAAAAAGGAGACATTACTACAAGGGATGTCAAAAGATTATCAGAGAGCCAGGCATAGTGGGTACACCTGTAATCCTAGCACTCTGGGAGGCCAAGGCGAGTATCGTTTGAGCTCAGGGAGTCGAGACCAGCCTCAGCAAGGTGAGACCCGTCTCTACTAAAAAATAGAAAGAAATTAGCTGGACTACTAAAAGTATTATTATAAAAAATTAGGCTGGCATGGTGGCACATGCCTGTAGTTCCAGCAACTCAGGAGGCTGAGGCAGTAGGACTGCTTGAGTCCAGGATTTGAGGTTGCTGTGAGCGAGGCTGATGCCATGGCACTCTAGCCTGGGCAACAGAGTGAGACTCTGCCTCAAAACAAAAAAGCAAAACAAAATAACACTCGTATCCCCTAAATCTCTTGAAATAAAAATAAAAACTGCATTGAGAATGGTGTGGCATTGGGAAACTAATCAGGCTCTTTTGCAAACACACACATACTGAGTGGCCCCTGTGGCATTTAGCCCTGGGTTACACCTGACTGTGCTCTATAAAAAGTGAAGAATCTACCTGGAGAAGCATCCTTTTTATAAATATATAAAGGCTTATAGACAGACAGAACAGATTTTGAAGTAACTTAAAACCTCCACAATACACAGGGGAGGGTGGAAAAAAAAGAGGGAAAGGTAGCTCTGCCTAGGGTCTGTACTAAATACCTCCAGTTCAAGAATTACGTAGTGAAGTCCTTTTTTTGGAAATGGGGGAGAGGTTGTCCCTAGCCAGCCTGCATGCTCAATGACCAGACGTTAAGCCTGATACTGACATTCACATGCCCTACAGATTTACACAGAGCCTATTCAGTGACTTCCCGTTCAGTAGAAACCCCCAAATGCATGCCAGAAACTGGGTACAATACAGAATGCTACATATACTATATTTTTTCCTATACATACATACATATAAATTTAATTTACATATTAGACACAATATTCTTGCACTTTGGGGGTTATAATTAAGTATATACTTGAAAGCAAGTACTGCAATACCTCCACAGGGGACCTGATAAACCAGATGGCTACTAAGTGACTAACAGGCAAGTAACCTATCTATACAGGTCAATAAATACTCTGGAAAAAGGGATAAGTCACATCGGGGCAAGATAGAGTAGGACAGGACAAGATTTCATCATGCTATTCAAAACAGCACGACATTTAAAACTTCTGAATGGTTTATTATTGGAATTTTCCATTTAATATTTTTAGACCACAGGTGACCACAGGTAACTAAGACCACAGAAAGTATGTATGTAGGGGTTGCGAAAATTCACCTAACTATACACATAGGATTTGTGTATTTTTTAGTAAGTTATATTTCGTTAAAAGCTTTTAAAAACGTTGCCATAGACCCCGTGAAGCGGCTTGATCTCATCTACCTCTGGTTTTACTACGGATAGATTGCAGTAACTTTCAGACCAAGTGAGAGTGGTGTGGGACAAGTTCGGGCCACACACAACCTCTGGACTTCCCTGCGCGCCCCGCCCCGGGCCAGAGGAGCCTGGTTCCTTTTGCCTCAGAAGACTGAAGGCCGTCGGGTCCACGGGTCTGAAGCGACCAGACGCTTCCCCGGCCGGCTCAGCCACCGAACGCTCCCAGAGCCAGGGGACGCCAGATCCCCCCAGGTCTCTCGGCGCGCTCGCCACATTCCACCCGCCTGAGGATCAGGCCCTCTGTTCTCCCCGCTCCGGGCCCGCGATGACGGCGACGCTGATCCTGGAGCCCGCGGGCCGCTGCTGCTGGGACGAGCCGGTGCGCATCGTCGTGCGCGGCCTGGCGCCCGAGCAGCCCGTCACGCTGCGCGCGTCCCTGCGCGACGAGAAGGGCGCGCTCTTCCGGGCCCACGCGCGCTACCGCGCCGACGTCGCCGGCCAGCTGGACCTGGCGCGCGCGCCCGCGCTGGGTGGCAGCTTCGCGGGGCTCGAGCCCATGGGGCTGCTCTGGGCCCTGGAGCCCGAGAAGCCATTCTGGCGCTTTCTGAAGCGCGACGTGCGGACGCCGTTCGCCGTGGAGCTGGAAGTGCTGGACGGCCACGGGCCCGAGGCCGGGCGGCTGCTGGGCCGGGCGGTGCACGAGCGCGACTTCCTGCCGCCCGGGGTGCGGCGGGAGCCGGTGCGCGTGGGCCGGGTGCGCGCCACGCTCTTCCTGCCGCCAGGTGAGCGGGGGCTGCGGGAGTGTGAGGGTCGGTGGCCTCCGGGCTGCTCTAGCTGAGGTTTGGCTCCGGGGCAAGATCAGAAAAGCTGGCATTGGTTGTCAATGGCGCTCAGCAAAGATGGGGGATTTTGGCGTTAGGTTTTGCACTGTTTTACTGCATTATACCATTTAATTTCTGTAATGTCCCAATGAGGTGGATGTTCTTATTCTGCAGATGAAAAGCTAGGGTCAGACTGGTAGGTACATTGTCCTCTTTGCTATTAATCACTCCCCTACAGATCCCTGCAGGCATTAGCCCGACTGGTCTTAGGCAAAATGCAGACGGTAAAGGAGGCTGTTGCCATGCCCCTTTCTCTAGTGTCCTGGGCACACTGGGCCCATCTCCACTTCTTCATGTCCCTCTTTACTGCAGATCACAGTTCAGACTTCACTGCCTTCTCATCTAAACCCATCTCTGGGTATTTCTGTTTCTTTTCTGTCTTTCTAAATAGACATCTGAAATAGCAGCACACAGAAAACACAACATAGAGCTTTGATTCAGATTCTTAATTCTATGTCCAGTCCTCCAACAGAGTGCTCTTGAGTCCAACACTGTATAAAACATGAAATCCCTCCTTCCATGATGTGTTAATTAACGAAAGACTTTGTTACTCCCCCTTAGGACAACTTAGAGTTTTAGAATCTTGCAAATAATTTATCATAGAATCATCTGGACGGTCACATCATCAGTAAGAAGGAGCTCTGTGTTTTAGATTTTTCTCTCCCCAAGGAGCTTCTATTCCTTTTTAGTAGTGACTCAGACATCTGCTCTCTTTTCTTTAATTTATAGGAGCCCACTAAATAATTTAGAAGGTTGTGTTAAAGAAAAAGCAAATTCTGGCCGGGCGTGGTGGCTCATGCCTGTAATCCTAGCACTCTGGGAGGCCAAGGCAGGCGGATTGCTCGAGGTCAGGAGTTTGAAAGCAGCCTGAGCAAGAGTGAGACCATCTCTACTTGAGACAGAGTCTGCTGTTGTGCTCAGCTAGAAGTGAGTGCCGTGCGTCAGCCTAGCTCACAGCAACTCAATACTCGTGGCTAAGCAATCCTCCTGCTCAGCCTCCCAAGTAGCTGGATTACAGCATTTGCCACCTATGCCGCTAATTTTTTGGTATTATGTAGTTGGCAAAATTTCTTATTTATGGTATGAGGATGGGTCTCCTGGTTGCTCAGGCTGGTTTCAATCCTGACCTTAGCAATCCGCCCGCCTCGCCTCAGAGAAGTAGGAATTACAGGCGTGAGCCACCGGCGTACAGTTTTGGAGAGAATTATGAATGACAACATAACTCACAATTCCTACATCCCTTCTCCTGATTATTTAGAATGTATATGTGATTTCTCTGAGAAGTTGACCTGAAAATGGGTCTTTGTAATCCAACAAAACAGATTTGAGGCCAAGAGAATAAAAACCTCAGAGGAGCGCTTAACGTTGTTTCAAGTAATATAATTCTCCAACAAGCTGCTGGTGTGAAACTGCCTATAGGGTTAGACCTGAAGGCAGCGTGTTTAATGAGATGGCTGACGTAACAACCAAAGCTGCCCCGTGTGCTAAGCTAGTTAGTTACCAACACTATAAGCGTCACCAGTCAAGACACTTGGCAGAACCTTCGTCCTCTTATATGGTTCACTAGAGCAGAAACTCTGCTGGGTCAGAGGTGACATAATGTGAACATTGTGCGCGTTCTTAATTGTAAAACCCAAGCCGTTTCTCTGTGTCTATACTTTCAAGAGACAACTCATTTTGTGTATAGCCCAAAGTTGAATTTGCATTGCAACATAAAACATTGTTTATTAATTTAGGAGATTTACCCGGTTATGATATTTTTTTATTTGACACATTCTTCTAAGTCTGAACAATTTTTAAACTTGATACATCATTAGCATTTAGTTTTATATTTTATCTCAGTACGCACAGTGGAAATAAAGTTTAAAATCAAGTGTGATGGGTATATGAGGGCAATTCAGGCAGGCGTGGTGGGCTCACGCGGTAATCTAGCTTCTGGGAGGCCGAGCAGGCGATCCATCTGAGCTGATGTTGAGACCAGCCTGAGCAAGGAGAGAGCCCCGATCGCTACTATTAAATTGGATACAGAATTTAACTGGCCATCTGGGGAGACTAGCGGTGATACTAGAAAGAATTTAGTCCGGGCAAGTCGTGCACCATGCTGTTTAGTCCCGCTTTTGCCGGTGGTTGCGGAGGCTTGCGTGGAGGCAGAGGGAGGGATTGGGCGTGGGCCAGATTGGGAGGTGCTCGGTACTAGGCTGACGCGGTCTCGTTTATCCGGGTTTGGTCCATCTCTTAGCCTGCTGGCAACAGAGTTGATGACTCTGTCCTCAAAAAAATAAAATAAAGGAAGTTCAGAAACGTTTTATAAATTATGTGGAAATTGTAAATCAACATGCTTCTGAATGACGTCACTAGCGTCAACAAAGGATAAAAGATGGAAATTTAAAAAAATTTTGGACAGAAATGAATGAAATGAAAACTGAAACATTACAAAACCTTGTGCGTGGATTCGGGTACATAAAAATCAATGCTAAGAGAGATAGTCCCTATAGCATTAAATGCCAACATCAAAAAAAGTAGACAATTTACAAACCAAATGACACATAAATGCCATCTCAAAGGAACTAGAAAAAAAAAAGCAAACCCTAAGTTAGAAAGAAGAAGAGAATAACAAGAGGAGGCAGATTAGGAATCAATTGAAATAGAGGACCAAAGAACCAATATGAGAGATCGATGAAAACAAACAAGTTGGTTCTTGAAAAGTATGAAGGCAAAGTTTATAAACCACTGGACTGACACTAACAAGAAAGAGAGATCCAAATAACACAAATCCCACAAATGAAAAGGAGACTTTACTACAAGGATGTCAAAAGATTATCAGATGCAGGCATAGTGGGTTACACCTGTAATCCTAGGACGATCTGGAGGCCAAGGCGAGTATCGTTTGAGCTAGGAGGTCGGAGAGCAGCCTCCGCAAGTGTTGTGAGGAGCCCGTCTGCTCTAAAGAAAAATAGAAAGACGCAATTAGCTGAGCTACTTTAAAAGTTGTATATATAAAAAATTAGCCTGGAGGTGCAGCATGCCTGTAGTCCCGCAACTCAGGAGCTGAGGCAGTGAGGCTGCTTGAAGTCCAGGAGTTTGAGGGGCTGTGGAGGCCGAGCTGATGCCATGGCACTCTGCCTGGGCAACAGAGTGAGACTTGCCTCAACAAAGGCAACAACTAAACACACTCGTATCCGCTAAACTCTCTTGAAATAAAAAAAAAACCTGCACTTCGAGAAGTGGGCACTTGGAAACTATCAGGCTCTTTGCAAACACACACAGATGAGTGGCCCGCTGTGGCATTTAGCCTGGGTTACCAACTGACTGTGCCTCTATAAAAAGTGAAGACATGCTTCCTGGAGGAGCATCTTTATAAAGCTATAAAAGGGGCTATAGACAGGCAGAACAGATTTTGGATCAGGTAATTAAACCTCCACAAAACAGAGCAAGGACGACGCGGGAAAAAAGAGGGACAAAGTAGCTCTGCCTAGGCCAATAGAAGGTACATTTGTGTATGTTTATAGTTGCACACAGTGTTGTGTGATTTCAAGTGCATCACGAATTCCCTAAAGCCTGTCCATGCTCTCTGCAAGACAGTAGCCCCAGCTACAGGGAAAGGAAATGGCTCTTCTTTCACCCACATAAACTTTCAATATTTCCTGGATTGTGGCCAGGTGCAGTGGCTCACGCCTGTAATCCCAGCACTTTAGGAAGCCAAGGCAGAAAAATTGCTTGAGGCTAGGAATTTGAGACCAACTTGAACAAAATTGAAAGATATGTCTCTACAAAAAATTAAAAAATATATTAACTGGGCATCTGGGCATGGTGGTTGAGTGTATGAGTGTAAGGCAGGAGGATCATTTGAGCCCATGAGTTCAAGGCTGCAGTGAGCTATGATTGCACTACTACATTCCAGCCTGGGCAACAGAGATTCTGTCTTTAAAAAACAACAACAAAAGAATTCCTAGATTTGGTGGGGTTGGTGCATGTTTCAAGGCACCATGTGTTGGAAATACATAAAAGAGTAGATCTGGAATCATGCTGAAGCCCTGGCCTTTATTTGGCAGTACAGTTTTTTTTTTTTTTTTTTTTCCAGACTACAGGCATGCGCCACTATGCCCGGCTCATTTTCCTATATATATTATTTGGCCAATTAATTTCTTTCTATTTATAGTAGAGATGGTCTCACTCTTGCTCAGGCTGCTTTCAAACTCCTGACCTCGAGCAATCCGCCTGCCTTGGCCTCCCAGAGTGCTAGGATTAAAGGCATGAGCCACCACGCCCGGCCAGAATTTGCTTTTTCTTTAACACAACCTTCTAAATTATTTAGTGGGCTCCTATAAATTAAAGAAAAGAGAGCAGATGTCTGAGTCACTACTAAAAGGAATAGAAGCTCCTTGGGGAGAGAAAAATCTAAAACACAGAGCTCCTTCTTATTGATGATGTGACCGTCCAGATGATTCTATGATAAATTATTTGCAAGATTCTAAAACTCTAAGTTGTCCTAAGGGGAGTAACAAAGTCTTTCGTTAATTAACACATCATGGAAGGAGGGATTTCATGTTTTATACAGTGTTGGACTCAAGAGCACTCTGTTGGAGGACTGGACATAGAATTAAGAATCTGAATCAAAGCTCTATGTTTGTTTTCTGTGTGCTGCTATTTCAGATGTCTATTAGAAAAACAGAAAAGAAACAGAAATACCCAGAGATGGGTTAGATGAGAAGGGCAGTGAATGTCTGAACTGTGATCTGCAGTAAGAGGGACATGAAGAAGTGGAGTTGGGCCCAGTGTGCCCAGGACACTAGAGAAAGGGGCATGGCAACAGCCTCCTTTACCGTCTGCATTTTGCCTAAGACCAGTCGGGCTAATGCCTGCAGGGATCTGTAGGGAGTGATTAATAGCAAAGAGGACAA